TGATTTTTTAGATTGAATAACTGATGTCTGTGAAGAACTGCCTTTTTTTTTTCCCTCAATTCAAACGATTTTATTTAATTTTTTTATAATAATGTGTTAATATTATAGGGCTTTGATTCCTTGTAGTGTTGTTTATCAAAACATGTATTCAATTTGATGTAATTTATTCGATTTGAGGCGGATTTTTGAGTTGGAATGACTGATGTTAAGTCGGTCTATGAAGAACTGGATTTTTTTTTTTTTTAATTCATGATCAATTTTTTTGAAAAATTGTGATTTTTTAAAAATTGTGAAAATCGTGACCACGTTTGATTATCATGAGTAATTAAACATTATTTTTAATTTGTATTGTTAAATTTTTAGTGCAAAAAATTGCATGTTGATAGATTATTTATGCAAAAAAAATACATGTATTATATTTTTAATGCAAAACTGTATTTTTTAATTTGTTGTTAATGCAAAAAAATACATTAACAAATACATGTTGTTAAACTGTATTATATTTTTAATGCAGTTTTGAATTAAAAAAGTATTTTTAATTTTTTAAATTTTTAATGCAAAAAATACATGTTAAATTGTATTATCATGAGGAATTAAAGTGAATATCATTGTAAAAAATCGTGGCATGTATGATAATTATATTATCTTGTATTTTTCAATTTTATTATTAAATTTTTAATACAAAAAATGTATGTTAATACATAAATTGTATATATATTCTTGATAATTGAGTTGTAGCCATGTTTGGAGTTTGCATTTTTTATTATATTATCTTACATATTTGTAATTGAGATGTACGACTATTTGTGATCAATTCAATTGAGCTGGGACTATGCCCACTATATCATTGTAAATTTTACTTATGGCATTGTGAATGACTATATCATTGCAAATGTTTTTTGTGTCAAATATACGTGAAGTAGCATTATGGGTGATTATATTATTGTAATTTTTTTCTTGATTCTAAGTGTGACTTATACAGACTTTTTTTTATCTATAATGTTGCATAAAAATTTTTTTTTTCTCAGTAGAAACTAATTCATGTTTGTCGAAACGAAGATTTGTGACAAGTCCATATGTACTTGCATTGTGAATTACTATACCATTTTAAATATATTTTTTATTGATATTATATCAATGTAAATTTTTTGTTCTATATGTAGTTGCTGATATAGGCTATTTTTATCTATAATGTTGCATAAATAAATTATTTTCCCTGTAGGAACTAAAATATTTTTGTCAATAGAAGTATTTTGCATTAACAACAAATATAACTTCACAAACTACCCCTACATATTATCACTACACATGGTGATTATTTTTTATGTTGAACTGTCAGGTTAATTGTTAACCCTTTACCTATTAAAACAGTTGAACCATGGCAAGATCTGCGGAAGACCCTGCATGGCAACATGAGGTCAGACTCGATCCCAACAAAAAAGACAAAATTATTTGTAATTATTGCCACAAAGAGTGATAAGTAGTGGGGTACATAAGTTCAAGTAACACTTGGCAGGGGTTAAAGGAGATGTTTCTGCGTGCAATAGTGTCCCTAGTAATGTAAGAAAGCAGATGGCGTCATTTCTCAAGACTACCAAAGGTAAAAAAATTGCAAAGTGGAGGATGGATGAAGAGATAACTAGTTTATATACGCCATCAAGCGGGAATGATCCAGAAGAGCAATATATGAATGACTTGGAGAAAGCCACAAGAATGAGTTACAGGAAACATATCAGAGGGAACGCGGGTTTAGAATGTCTGGTGGTTATGACATGGGCATGCATGGTGGGCCTAGCTCAGACATGCATGGCGGGCCCAGCTCAAATATGAATGGAGGGGTTGGTGGCAATATGTATCAAGAGGAATCAAAAGTTGAAGAAATTGTTTCTAGCTTATCAAAGAGAGTCAGTATTGTATGTCGTAGTCGTATATCTCTCAAAGCCTAAATCACAACAGATGACCCTCAAAGACATGGTGAAAGGTAAGAGGAACATGTTGAGCAGATATGTTGGTAAATGGTTCTACGATAAAGGGATCCCCTTTGATGCAGCCAATAGCCCATATTTTCTACCTATGGCCAACGCAATCTAGAGAGCCAGGCCCCAGATAAAACCCCCGACAGCATATGAGCTCAATGGGCCAATATTGGATGAAGAGGTGGAGGAAGTTAAAAAGTGGTTGAAGAATATAAACAGAGTTGGCCAAGAACAGGCATTACTCTTATCAGTGATGGTTGGTTGAATAAAGTTAGCAAAAATGAGTTTTTTAACTTCTTGGTCTATTCCCCAAAAAGTACAGCTTTTTTGTCTAACAAAGACGTATCAGGGATAAAGAATGATGTAAACTTCTTGGTACAACTATATGATCAGATAGTGAAAGAGGTGGGAGATAAGCATATAGTCCAGTTTATTACAAACAATGCACGTGCATGTGATTCTGCGGGGAGCAAGTTGATAGATACGAGGAAGCATCTAGTATGGACCCCGCATGCTGCACACAGCATCGATCTTATGTTAGAGGAGATCGATGAGATCAAAATTGTCAAGGAGACTCTACAAGAAGCGAGGTTGGTGTCAAGATTTATATATAACCACTCTAAAATTTTATTTTTGTTCAGAAAACAGTCTAAGAAAAAAAAGATAATCAGGCCTGCTTTGAGACAGATTACTTGGCTGTGGACTCTATTCGGGAATCTGAAGGTGCATTAAAGAGATTGTTTACCAGTGAAGAGTGGTTAAATGACCGCCTCTCGAAATCTAGTATCGGGCTAAAAATGGACGGCATAATCTCAAATAAGAGGTTCTGGTCTCGATGTTCCAGTGTCGTAGAGGCTACTGCTCCTTTGGTCACGGCGTTAAGAATGGTAGATGCTGATAAGAAAGCTACCACAGGCATTCTTTACGAACGTATCGAGATGGTCAAATCAGCAATTAAGGAGAAGTGTAGTTTTGCTAGTAAAGTAATCGCGATTATCAAAAAAAGGGTGGAACACAAAATTTAGACGTCTAATTCATTATGCAGGTAAATATATATTTATATCATTAGAATGTTTTATTCTAAATTATTTTTTTATGAAATTTTAAATGACATTTCTCTATCTATATATTTTTTAGGTTACTACTTCAACCCAAAAATTTTCTATTTGAAACCTGAACATCTCCACAAGATTATGGAAAGGGTCAGATACATTATTGCCAGGTTGGAGAGAAGCCATCGAAACCAGGTAGCAGCAATACAATAGGTATTATTTAATATTTGGATAAGAACTTGATTGAGTTGTTATATTTGTGAGGAATAATGCACTAAAACGCAATATTTTGTTTTAGCTTGCTATGTATAGGGATGCTATAGGATCCTTCGGAACTAGACTTGTCAGGAATTCTCGAACTAAGATGGATCCAGGTTATCCCCTAACTAATATTTTGTTCATTCATATATTTAATCTTATGAATCGTTCTTACCCTTACAATGCTTTTTGCATTTTAATCCAGCTGAATGGTGGGAGATATATGATAGTGATGTACCTCACCTAAAAAGGATAGCAATCAAGGTGCTCCCCTAGACATATTCTGCTACTGACTGTGAGCGAAACTGAAGTACGTTCCAGTGGTTGCACACTACTAGGAGGAATCGACTCGCTTTGGAGAAGCTTCATAAACTAGTCTACGTTCATTACAATTTAAACCTTCGAGAGCGACTAATAAAAAGGAAGCTTGAAGACTATGGGCCGATAGACTTAAACACAATATTTGTCACATGCACAGCAGAACAATGGGTAGTAGAAGAAAAGGAGCCAGTGTTGCACAAGAGAGCGCTCCTTGAAGCTATCGGTGAGGAAGATCTTGAAGAAGGTGATGAGCAGCATGAAAAAAGAAACAGCCCGCCAACATATCCACAATTCGTCAGAGATGTCGGTGATATTGCATCTTATGAGGGAGAGTGAGAATGGGGTTTAAGGGAAAATGACAGAGATGATGATTCTGAGACCACCCAATCTCAGCCAAATTATTCACATATCGAGTCCCAACAACATGAGGGTAGGGATGAGCACGATAGTGTAGGTGAGCATGAATGATGGACAAGCTTCGGGGATTTTGGATTAGGACCACAACAAAACTCTAACACTCAGGGATTTGGGTATAGTCAGGTGCCCACTAATTTGGATGATTCATTTTTAGAACGAGTCAATGAATTATCACACGAATTCAATCAATGGCACCAGCGTGATCAAGATAAAGAACGACGTCGTCTGTCATTTTATTCTTAGATCGTATATTATGCATTGTATGCTGTATTGTAGTCCATGTATGATGATATACTTAATACATGATAATTCTATGTTTATCCTTTTGTGTGATGTAAATTAAATGGTAAATAGTAGTTTATGCAGGGAAATAACATATCAATATTTGCATATTCATGCAAAGAAATGAAAATTCTTAATGGAGTACCCCCATTTCTTATTGAATTCCTAAAAAACAACATTTATAATGAATTTTAATAATTTTTTCAGATTTGTTTTAAGGCTTTATCCGACTGATTCGACCAATTCCCAATCCGAATCGCCGATTCACCGATCCGGATGGGCTTTTGAGGTGGCCGATCGGAGTCACCGATCTGCTTTTTAAACCACTGGGTTCAAGAGTGCTTTTACGAATAGAAACAAGGGAAATTTATTAAAATATACCTAACTTTTAAACAATTTAACAGTGTATACTTTTTCTACTATTCCAACTGATGGTAATGCGTATTTTGATGGCTATCTCAAAATTTAAATTAGAAGATATGGATAAAATGTCAAATAGTTTATCTTTTTTTTTGGGTAATTCGAAATAGTTAATCTCTTCTGTGTATTTTGATAAACTTCCCTAGAAATAAAGTACAAATAGAACACACCAAAGGAGTTATACACATCTTAAATTAAACAATAAATGTTCTAACTCTCAACAAAGTAACCGGCTAAGAAATAACAATGAACAAAGATTTGGGAAGGGATTGACCTCAATGGTGTTCTCTGACATACCCAATGAAGGAGCATTTATTCCCCGAAGAAGCACGCCAACTAACCTGAGTTTCTCCCTCCAGTTAAGAGCACCCCATGCCCTTCCAAGCTGAAATAGAAGAATAGTCTGAGGAATAACATCATTAAAGATAAAATGATCAATCGCATCAAGAGTACATATGTAGGTGTCCATCTTGTAAATTAGATGGATGAATCCTGAAAAAATTACCAAAGATTTATTGAATGACCACATGAAATGACAAATCATGACATAAGATCACTTGAGCACAGAAAAATACAGTTATTTCTATCGGTCGATCCCCCAAAACTATTTGAGCCCCCACCTCTTCAGATGCCTTGCGAGCAGCACGAAACTGCATAGCATGAACAGCTACCTTTGTAAAAAAGAGAGAGAACATGGAAAGACACTATTACGGCTAATGAAAACTATGTATAAACTGGTTTCAGAGCCTAGAGAGCATATTATATCTTTTGTTGATGATTTAAAAAAAAAATGTTTAAAACAATAAAAAAAAAAGCGCTCCGATTATACTACCTCATTACCCAAAGGCCTGCCAATATCAGAGGAGATTTTTGTGGAGAAAGCTGCCAGAAGCAATCGAAATGCAAGAGTAGACTGACCCCCTGCCATTGCAGAGTGATGTACTCAGAATCCAAGCTTCAAAAGTTTGAGAGCGTTTTACAAGTTGGCGAGTCTAACTCAGACTCATCCAAATTAATCAAGCTCGACAAGGTGCCAAACCCACAACACCCCTAAACTCAGTGGTACATATACGTGATTTATTACTAGTTGTACTTGATTTTTTTGATGATTTAAACCACATATATCTGATATAATACTAATTGTACTTGGCTTTTTATGATTTAAACCTTGACCAAATCATTCATGATTGACTCATAATTCATCATCATCCGAGTCTTATCCCAATAATTTGGGGTCAACTATGATTGACTTATAATAAGTTTCATATATATTTTTGTGGTTTTATGATTTTCAATGAATTTTTTATCTATCTTATTCATGAGAAACGATTTTTATCAGATTTCTATTTGTTTTATTCTTTGAGAAGTTCTTTCTCATCTTTTAAATACTTTTGCTGTTGTTTACCAATTGTTATTTCCTGATTTTTACCAATGTTGCAGGATTTTTGCATTTTTTTAGGAGGTTTTTTTGGCCCTTTGGGTGGCTCGGATGGACTCAGGTCAGTCTACTCAAAGTCATCCAAGTAACTCCAGCAGGCCAAGACCCTGGTTCTGAGCACGAGCAATTTTAAAAGCACTAGTTTGATAAAGTAATATGGGGGATGTCTCATTTCCATCAATAAAGAGAATTATATGGTTTTCATTGCTTAATCCCTGATCAGAACAGATTGTTGCCTGAAGAGGTATTGTCTATAAATTATTTCCCTTTGTTTAGGTAAATGACTTATGCTGGTGAATATAAGGTTCCAAAGCACATCCCTCAATTTGGAAACATAGCATCTCCAACTAAGGTATCTCACTTGGACACCGAATAAATGGGGACACTGTTGACCTGCAGTCACCTCCAGTAATATTCTTGAAAATAATGACTGCCAATTTATCTTCTAATATTTTATGAATATTTATAATGCAACTTTTACAAATTATACTTATTCTAATCCAATCAAGGAGAGTTAAAGAAAACAGGTTTTAGTTTTGCTTAACTTGACCAAGCTTTAGTTACCCAAAAAACTTGACCAAGCTTTAGTGTGAATTTCTGACAAATGCTTAAAACCACAGGACATACCCAAATTTAAACTACGATTCACTGCAGCAAAAAAGCTTGACCCACTCAAAGAAAACACATTTGCGTTCATCTTGGGACTAGCCTTCACTTCACCAGATTCCATGGGAGCGTACATTATCCCTGCTCTGAAAGTAGATTCTGCAAGAATTTAGGTTGGATGCTTTATGAATAATCTGATGAAATGCACTAGGTAACAAAGATTCACAACAAAGTTGAGACTTCTAGGCAGTGGAAACAACATCAAATAGCCAAAAAAGGATTACTTATGTGAACAAATATACAACCACAACAACTACTAAAAATTCAATCGCATATTACTCTATTGGTTAAATCATCATCATAATGAAAGCCTTTTGCAACTATTTGGGGTCGACTATACGAATCCTGGTCTGCCATTCTGCTCTATCAAGGGTCATACCCTCAGTGAGGCCACAAGTCCCCATATCTTTTCGTACTACTTCCAACCATGTCCTTTTGGGATAACTTCAAGTAGTTCATGACACATGTTCGATAACTTTTTTAATCATAAAGCCCATGTGCAAATCATGTTTGATGTTTAAAGTATGAATGAGCACATTCAAAGAAGTGAAGTTAGAAATAGTGATGCATTGCTTTAACATATAACTATAAACACCTAGTATCAAATAAGCTAATGGGGGATGGGGTGGAGGCCTTGGTAGTTAGGGGGTAAGATGCCTCCACATAACATCCCAGGTTCCATTCCCGCCATTACCTCTTCAAAATATAAATGGCACATGCTATGCATGATAGCCCAACTGAAAAATTAAATAAGGAACTTTAATAATTCATTATCATCAACATCCAAGTCCAATCCCAATTATTTAAACAAAATTATTTAATCTAAATGAAATAATATATTAATTTTTAAAATAAATTTGGCTGTGAAATATAATATATTATTTTTTACTTCGCTGTTTAGTTTTTAAGCTAATATGATTATCTCTGTATCTGTTTAATTTCTACATAACTATCATTTAATTTGTCATATTTAATTTCATAACTTCTTCTAACTAATTTTCATCTTTTTTGACATACTTCCCTGTGTTGTTGAGATAGGAATCTAGTTGTTTTGATGGGAATTCTTAATCCCATGAGAATTCCTATTTCAACTTTTAATTTGAATAGAGCTATGGAATTCTTATTTTGGCTGGAATTCATATTTTATTCTGGGCAGGAATTCCTAATTTAACTTGAATGGAGCTACAGAATTCCTATTTTGACATGAACTGCTATTTTTTTGTAGGAAATCTTATTTATGGAGGGAGGTTTAATGAAATTTTGCAGGGAAATGGTTGATGGGGATGAATTTTGAAATTCATCCCCTTGCTTTTTCTCCTTTACCAACATAGATATTTAGACTATGGTGATTTTCATGATAAATTAAATATCCCCAAAGTTCCTTCAATAACAGATTAAAGCTCACTTAATGAGCAAAACTTTTCTCCTTTGTGAAGTGATTATTCTGGAAATATTTGATGAATATCTAAAACTTTTACTATTTCATAAGAGAATGTGATCCACTTTAAACCTATTGTACTAAGGTCTCAAGCCTCTCGTAATGATAAGTCTCATTTTGGTTTCGGAGATCCGGGTTTGGAAATCTCGTGGCAGAGATATTTTACTTTTGAAAAATATTGGCCAATGGATATCGTACCTTAAGATACTGATCTGAGCTCGTTTTCATGGAATTGCAACCGAGCATTTGTTGTCTTGGCAAACAATACAGCCAACACATCCCAAGCTTCTTCAGAGTGGTGGCTTCTCTGATGTGGTCCAATAGTTCCTTTTGAACTATTGTCTTTAGCATGATCATGACCTTTAAGGCATTGATGCGCCATCATCACAATGCCTTGACATTCTCTGGTGCCGCCGTCAAAACGAATGGCGTTCGTGCGTGGAATCATACCTACAAGGTCATGTTTCTACCTCCAAGAGGTCTTGTCCTTGCAAAGGTATTGTCCCACGGCGCTAATACCTCCCAGAGGTTTTGTCTTTGCAGGTATGATTCTACGCACAAACGCCATTCGTTGTAGTTGTGAATTTCGCGAGCCTTCTAGTTGCATTTGCGATGTCCGCCATCACGATTGGTGTGATCGCACGTCGATCCCAACACCAAAAAACTCAGCCCCTGACTGATCAGCTTTACAATATCTCACTGCTCACTTAAGATGGCCCCTGACAAAACCCACTCTGATACCAATTGTAGAATTTCTAGAGCTTTGATACCACTTGTAGAAATTTTCGAGAGCTCTAATGTCAACTGTTGAAAATTTTTGGAAGCTCTAATACCAATTGTAGACACACAATGGAAAATTTATGCGCACAACTGACAATTTTTTTTTTAGAGAGAAAACAAAACTTTATTTTAGCAAAGTACACAAACAAATCTCTACAATTTCTCTCTCTACAGTTCACACCCTCTCTCTACAACTCACACACTACTTTCAAATCACTTTACTACATGTCGCTTCACCCATTTTACTATGCCACCCACTCCTTCTCTCTTCTTCTTTCTCTCTCAGTTCTTTTCACTATGCCTCTCACTCCCTCTTTTCTTCTTCTCTCTCTATCATCCCAACACCACACTACTCACGCAACGCACTCTCTCTATACTCCTTACTCTCACATCCGCTCACACACCTCTTTCTCTCTCTCTCTCTCGTATACATATTTTCTTCCCCACAATTTCACATACTCTATCACAACCCTTTTTATAGCGGAGTGCCAATGCATCTCTATTTTCAAACCTTGAGCCTACCAATGTTGACTTTACAATTCTCCCCTTCAACATTGGCTTACCTTTACAATACAAAAGTGAGTCAAAGACTCCAAGATAAAAAAAAATATAGAGCCCAATTGCAAAGGCAATCCCATGTTGATGGGGAGAATTGTAAAGTCAAACATTGGTAGACTCACTCGTGGCTTTTGGTGGCTCTTGAAAGTTGACAAAAGTGTGGAGAGGTTTGAAAATGGACCAGTGCATCCCACTATAAAAAAAGGGACGATAGAGTGTGTGAAGTTATAGGGAAAGAAAAGCTGTAGATGATAGACAGAGAGAAAAGTACGAGAACAAGGTTGGGAGGGAGGAGTAGAGAGAGAGTGTGAGATAAGTAATGTAATGTTGGGATGATAGAGAAGAGAAAGAAGAAGATAAAAGAAGAGTGGGAGGCACAATGCAAAGGAGTGAGAGAGAAAGAAGAAGAGAAGAGAGAGCGAGCGGCTGGCACAGTGAAAATAAGTGAAGTCCTATGTAGAAAAGGGATTTGAGAGTGGCGAGGGTGTGAGTTGTAGAGAGGGAAAGAAAGAAATTGTAGAGAGGTGTTTGTGTATACTTTGCTAGAATAAACATTTATTTTTTCTCTCGCTAAAAATTGTGTATGTGAGCATAATTTTCGGTTGTGTCTACAATTGGTATCAGAGGTCCCGAAAACTTTCAACACCTACATTAACCTTTTGCAATAAATTTTGACATATCTACTGCATTAAAAATTCATCAATAAGTACCCCCAGTAAATATCTATAAATAATATTCAATATCAAAAACAATCAAATTTTTAAACACGACATTCAGTAATAAAATTACCAGTAAAAATTGAGAAAAAAATAAGGTTTCAATGACTCTATATTACTTGCTAAAAATTCATCGGAGAAGCAGAACCCAATTCTTACCTGCTTCTACAAAGCTCAACCACCACATTCTCTGGCTTCACAGCTTTAACCAGACGAGAAACACCCATCACTGATTCCACCGAAACATGAGAAGTTGCAATCACCCAAATCATCTCTGGTTCTCCATTTCCCCTTTCCATTTTCTTAACTAACACCAAATTACCACTCTCAACTAAGTCTAGTAGCTCAGGGTACCTCTCTGACACAGTGTCTATAGTATCAGTGAAGGTCTCCGCCCGGTAATCGAAGTCTAACGGAGGAGGAGTAATGGAAACCCTAGAATTACTGGCACAAAAGAAGGGTTTAATAGAAACCCAAGATTTCATGATAGAGAGATATGATTTACCAGAAATCTTTAAATTGAAACCTGGAAAGTGAAATTGGTAAAAATTAGGCTTAGGGTTAGGGTTTAGGAATAGGGAAGAGGCAAGGCGCTCCATTTTGGAGTTCAGAGCACTGAAATTAGATATGAGCCAATCATTTAAAGTTGGCGCCAATAAAGGATTGATAGATAAAATTGGAAATAAAGTCGTGTAGCTTACTAGCTTACTCCCGCTGGAGCAAACTATACAATTTCTCTCACAAGCAAAAGATTTTCGACACTTTTTACCAAAAGATTTTATGTTCTTGTAGGAATCCAATGTCGCATGTCGTGCTTTCGAGTCTTTTTGGGTTTGGTGAAAAAAAAAAAAAAAAGCAATTTGATGTTTCGACATTTTTTTTATTTAATATAAATAAATTAGATATTTATAATATAAAAAAAATAGAAAATTTTTAAAATAAAAAATTCAAAAAAATATTTTTATATAGATATTTTTTTACTTCGGCCAAAGCCGACTCGAATCTGACCGAAGCGACAACATCAGTTCGTTTTTGAAATATAAGATCTCAATATTGAACACCGATGGTCCAATTCTTTTAGAGTGAGATCCAAGTGCTACAAAACGCATAATTCAATCTATTTTCTTTCGAAAAACTCATCTCGTGATTGTTAAATGGTTCACAAAATTTAACATTGAAAAAATTCTCCCAAACATGCCAAAAGGATGCCCCAAGGTCATGAGAATCATTATTCACTTTAATCCTATGGGGATCATCAAAATTGCAATTAGCTTTAAGCTACAAAATCATGGACGCAAAACAAACTATGCGTATGGAGGCTTAAAATGCGCGGTAGATCCAAAATTTATTTTATTTCAAACAATGATTTCATGCAACCGTTGTATAGTAATATGATGCAATAACTTTAAAAAACATCTTATGGCCATTGTTTGATCCAAATTTTGAAATATATACTCTTTTCATTCTAATGAACAATCATAAAAAAAGAAAAAATTGAAAACACAACCTAGAAAGTATTTTTTTAAGCTTCAATTAGC